AGGATGGATCTGACATTTTCAGGAGTGGAATGCTGTTTATGTAACTGTACCATGTAACAAAAACCATTTAATACCTTCTTTCATAGCTTAAATTTATGAACTAATTTGTATGATAGTACATTGTGGCTTACAGTTTGGAAAGACCAAATTTTAATTATAACTAGAAGGCAATCTGATTAAGAGAGGATGATCTTGATCATCCTCAGAAGGATAATAAATAGTTTCTCATCCCATCAGCATTAATAGAGAGTGTCCATAACAACACAACACTTCATCTGACAGTTTATAATGAGTCTGTGAGGTTCTCACCCTGTCTAAAAGCTTGTAGCGGTTTTATATTATCTCAAATTTGCTGCATTTCTACACAAATGATTCTCTAATTGCTGCATAAATTTACATTTTAAACTTAACATCAACTTAAACAGCTTCTAAATACCATTGATATTCAGGGTAGTATCTCATGCACATCAAGACAACAAAATATTTCTTGAGGCTCAGAAAATTATCCATCCATTTATTTCTATAAATTGATCATCTCAAACAATTATTGAGCCAGAGCTATTTAATCTTTGCTTTTTTTTCCCTTGAACTTATTCATTCCTACAATAGATAAAAATAGCTAAGAGCCTGTGCTGTTTAAAAAAATAGCATATATAGCATATCTGATTTACATCTATATATAATTCATTTAAGATATTTAATATTAAAAACTTTAGCTATCTAAAGGATTCTAGGGATAATTCACTTTATTTATGAAGAGTATGTACATGTACCTGCCTTTGGGCAAATTCAAGTTGTAGGATAAACTAGCAGAAAGAGAAGCACTGAATGATGTTGCACACACATTTTCTTCTTCTGTAGATGAAGATATCAGTGCGTTCTGAAAATGCAGAGAAATTTTATTTGTGAAATGATATATCTTTTACCAAGCTGTCATGTTTTCAGCATCAATATAACTCTATATGTATGTGCCTTAGCATTTTAGTAGGCAAAACAAGGCAAATCTTTTATTCTATTTGCTGTACTTCTGATGGAATTTATATAAAGTCATAGTAAAATAATTAATGTAAAAATGCAATGTTTATCTAAAGCTACTTGCACTAATCTTCACTTTACTGTTTAGTTTATTTATTTTTTAAAAGATTTATTTATTTATGCGTATAAGAGCTGGGGTATAGGCCAGAGGTGCTGAGGGTGAGAGGATTCACCAGAGACAGAGTGGGGAGCAGAACAGGCAGATTGACCGAAGTACACTGCTGAGGGGAACAGTGGGTGAGACAGGAGAGGTCTGCTGTGCCATGTGGGTTGCTCTCTGGCCGACCGGGGATTGAACTCTTGCTGCATAGGCTGCAGACATCTTCATAGGTTGAGTCTTAACCCCTTACGACACCAGGGAGGCCCCTTCACTTTACTGTTTTAATTATGTACATTTTTCTCCCATTCTTTAAGGCACAGAAAGTATAATATTGTCCATAAATGTTTCTATGGATACCATCAACCGTGTGAAAGAAAAGAAATTCAGATGATCTATTCAAATTGGTTTTATTACTGATAATTTTTCACTTTATTGAAAATATAACATCACACCTTAGTCCTAAGCCTAGTACTGTGCTTTCAAACAACCTCAGTAAAAGTCTTACTTACGTCATCATGAATTCTAGTCCTAAATTCAAGGATCACTTTTTTTTTAAAGCTTTATTTATTTATGCATATAAGACCTGGAGTACAGGCCAGAGGTGTGTGTGGGGGCAGTGAGAGGATTCACCAGAGCCAAAATGGGGAGCAGAACAGGCAGATCTACTGAAACACACCGCTGAGGGGAGCAGCTGGCGAGACAGGAGAGGTGTGCTGCTCCATGTGGGTTATCTCCCTGGCTAGATGGGGCATCGAACTTGCTACTGCAGTGATTGGCAGTAGCTTGATAGTGCTGTTTTTAACAAACCCTGCACCACCAGCGAGGCCCAGGTCACTGTTCTTGCTCACAATTAATTTGAATGGCTCGAGCAAATTCTATTTTCTATTTCTTCCTTGAGAGTCTCCTTTTCTTTTGCTTCTGTAACTGCTGCCTCTTTTATTTAAGTTTTCCTTAACTGCGCCTACTTAGTGACATTTGCAGAAGTTCAAGTGACAATGTTCTATGAACCTTTGTTCTTGGAACACTTTTCTTCTTACACACTCCTCAGGAATTTCATCTGCTTTCATGATTTTAATTAGTATATCTTTGTGGATAATCAGTCAGTTCTTTATTAATAAGAAGAGACTAGGTTTTTCCAAATACTAAGGTATTCAGAAAATCTCCATGTCTTAACTTCATCAAGGTTTATTTCTTACCCAACAACTGAGACTCAGATCATTTTATGGTCACTCAAAGGAAGTGAATTACATGTTGTCTCTTAAAACATCTTGGCAGATGTGACATACATCAGTATTACTTACATCTTATTGCCATGGCCTTGCTTTACAAGGGGACAGGGTAGTGTAATCCTATGAGTAAAGAGCTCGACTATTTATGAAAAGCTCTAATACTATCACAGCCTCTGACTCTATCGCCAGCACAGATCTTGAGACTTCTGTATTCCCCTGCTGTTGGAAACCCGTAATTATACTCCTGTATGAATCTCAAACACATCTAGCCTGGAACTAATTAGAACATCCTCTTTTGATTTCCTGTGTCAACGAGTGTCATTGATTGCTTATCTTGTTACTTGAAGTAGAAAACTAGACAACTATCCTCAATGTTGCCATCGAATCGAATCTGAAAACTGGATCTATCTAAAATGGACTTTTCCATACAAAGTCCTTTATTTTGACACATGTTGTAAATAAAATATAATTAAAAAGCCATCACTATGGCAGATATGGGCTTTTATGGTCTCGCTTTGTTATCTCAGAAAATCTAACACTTTGTAGCCTATGCTCTTATCAAATGAAACTATGGATTCTCTCCAATTCTTGAAAATTTCTTGTATTATTTTATTTTATTTTTTTTTGACTTTTGCATGAAAGTCTGGAAGACCTTTGTCAGGCACAATATAAGAACTCCTCTCGGGCCTCCCCTGGTGGCGCAGCGGTTGAGCGCTGGGCTGCAAAGCTGCCGCAGCCTCTGCAGCATCGGTTCGATCACCGGCGAGGGTCCCACATGGAGCGCAGACCTCTCCTGCCGCCCGCTGCTTCCCTCAGCAGTGTACTTTGGTCCCTCTGCCTGCTCTGCTCCCCGCTCTGGCTCTGGTGAATCCTCTCACCCTCCCACACTTCTGACTGTACCCAGTGCTTGCATGAATATTTAAAAAAAAAAAATAAGAACTCCTCTCTACTCCTCTTCCCTCCCTTTTCCTTCTCTCATCTCCTCCCCTCTCTCCTCCTCTTTCTTCAAGTAGGTTCAATGCAAGGCATTTCTTTCAAAATGTTCTAATTATCATTTACATGAGTACAGAACTGAGTGGCTTATTAGATTGAGCAAGATCTTAAAATCAGAATCAAAGATAAATTACTCTTTAGGGATAAATGTGGACTTAAAATGAAGAGGTTAGGCACAACAAATCAGATGAACAAGGGAAGAATATTGGAAAATTTAGTGATGTGGGCGTATTGAATTAAAAAAAAAAAACCCGTACACACATACAAGAAATCTGGTTGTGTGCTCCTTGAAGGAGGAGATTGTGTCCATGGACTATTGCCCCTTTGACAGTTTCTGGTTTATATACAAGCATTAAAAAATATACTTGCTGAATTAAATTTGGGGATGAGAAGGGTGAATAGAGATGATTTACCTAACTTAATCCTGTTTTTAAAGAAAATGGCAGTAACTTCAGAAGTAAATAAAACAACTCTTGTTTGATAGTTTGATGTTTGAAAGGGTAAGTAAAGCAGAGATAGAGTAAAGCAATAGGCACAAAATAAGTGACAATTTTTGTACTGCTGCTAAAATTTACAATAGAGTTTGATAAGGAGAAAAGGTTTAATGAAGTAAAATAGATGGTAAAGGGAATAAAAGGTAAAGGAGTCGTCAAGGTGCTTAACATAGATCATGAATAATTACAGGTCATCAGTAATATGCGGACAGAGAGAATAAGCAGTCAATTGTTGAAAGATTTCAAATTATATTTTAAATATAATTTTACCCTTAAAAATCTGATAAACACTATCAATTAAATATGCTTCTTAGGAAAAAAGAAGATATGTGGGTTTTTGATACATGAAACAAACTATTTTGGAAAGAGTTTAAAATTTTAAAGAGCCAAAATGATACAAATTCTTATTCAGTGACATTCAAAGTAATTCTTTGGCTTCATGTCTATTTTAAAATGGAATGGAATTATTTTAAGTTTAATGGAATAGGTACAGTCATATATACTTATGCATTCCCTTATTCTTAAATTTATAGGCTTTATGGCAACACTATATTAAAATAAGGGTCTTTAGGAAAATCATCCATATTTAGCAGGCATAATTAAAAAAATCTTTTTGCTTTATCAATTAATTTATTTTTAAGTCTCTTTATTATCAGAAATTTAGTGTTATTCTTTGCTATTGGCTTTCAAGGGAGCAGACCTCTGCTGCAAAAAAAAAAAAAAATCAGCAAAAGTCTTTGAATTAAGCATTTAGCAAGATGATGTATTTTTTTTTTAGAAGGCAATTGCAAAAGATAAGGGGTCCAATTCATTACACAGTGCTTGCACACATAATTGGAATCACATACCTTTTCAGCATAAGAATTATCTTATCCATTGTGGGCTTTATTTCTTAATTAAAGGAAAACTTAACACAATTCAAGTAATTATCATAGTTTCTTAATATTTGTTTAAAGAACAAGCCACTTAAGAATCTAATTTATTGGGAGAGACACCTCTGGTGCATGTGTGTGTAAATGTGCACGGAGAATGAAGACTACTTAGAAAATAATTCTCTCATTCTCTGACTTTTTCTCTATGAAATAAAAACTTTAGTAATTTATGTTCTTTCAACACCCCTGTGTAGAGACACTACCCTCCACCATGTGACTGTATGGGGAGGGGACTTTCGGCGGTAACTAGGGGGAGATGAGGTCGTGAATGTGGCGTCCTCTTGAATGGAGTCATGTTCTTGTGAGAGTCCCCACTGTGCTCTCTATGCTGTGAGGACACAAGAAGCCAACCAGGAGAGGACTTTCATCAGAGCGCCGCCATGTTGGCTCCTGAGCTCAGAAGTCCAGCCTCCAAACTGTGAGAGATAAATTTCTGTTGGTGCATATTTCCTTTTGAATTAGTGTTTTTGTGTTCCTTGGGTGGGTTCCTAGGAGTGGAATAGCTGTGTCTGATGTCACAAGGATTGGTGATGGAGTATGGGTCTTTGGTGGTAGGACTGCAGTGACCATGCCTGAGAGGAGAAACCCTATATTGTCCACAAATTAACAATGATGTAAGAAAGAGTTACTACTTTTAAAAATGATAAAAAATATAAAAATAAATAGATAAATTTCTGTTGGTTATTTTCACCCAATCTATAATACTTGGTTGAGACAGTCAGACTGACTAAAGCAACTTCTGAAACAGGAAAGCTCTTTTTATTCATTTTATGACAAAATTTATTTGGTGACAAAATTCTGAATTGAATCGATTTCAAGTTAAGAATAGTCTTTAACCAAACCTATTATATTTAGCCGAATTACAAAAAAAAAGTATTTTATATTGTGGTTATTCCTGTGGTAGTTATGTGGTATATTGGGTATGGAGCAAATTATCTGACTATACTACAATTTAAATTGAGAAATACATCTAGTCCCAAATGCTTTAGAAAGGGTGATGGAACTGTTTGTATTCCCCATTTTTCTGATAAAGAAACTGAGGCACAAGTGCTCAAGAAATCAGCAATAGCTACTTAGTCTGTGTTCATTTTCCTGACTTATCTTCAGAAATGACTAATGTATTTATATTCAAGTAATATATGAATAGACATTAGTGAACAAATGCTGTAGAAATATTATAATTAAGGGGAAAGAGCTTTTGCCTGGGTATCTTAATAAAGAGATTCTTTTCCAAGTTTTATCACTAAGTAGCTACGTGACCTCGAGCAAACCTCTCAAATTATCTCTGTCCTAAATTCTCATTCGTGAGGTGAGGCTCATTATACCTGCCTTACAAAAATCTCGTAAAGTTAAAATGCGATCATCATAGTAAAAATACTTTGAAACTAATTAGTGCTGTACTTATATAAGATGTTATTATAGCAGTTTCATAATATAGTTATTTTTTGCTCATTTCAATTGAAAAGAGCATTAAAACATTTCAAACTTAAAATACTCAAGAGAAGCATTTCCCTAAAGTATGTTTCATAGAACAGTAATCTGTGAAATGTTCCAGGACAAAGAGTGTTGTGGTCTAATAAAGTTAGAAAAAAGATATATGTTGTATCTCCCTCTTGAAGATTCAGGAGGCTGCTGAAGCTATTAAAAGCTCTTTGAGTCTTGCTTAAAGAACTATTTTGGGTTATTTTAACCCAGAATTTCCAAAATTTATTAACCCTCGTTCCAGTAATACCTTTGAACATCCTGTGGAACCATCTGGCTGAGTGTGTTTTAGGGTATTTCCAGAAAGAATTACTATTTTAAAATCCAGATTCTTATTAATGCTCACATTTATTTTATATCCATGTGGATTTTATGAATACCAGTACTTTTATTTATATTTAGAAAAGTATACTGTTTTTCCCCTCCTACCAAAAATGTGTTTTACTTTTATAATAATATATATGTGTGTGTGTGTGTGTGTATATATATATATAATATATATATATATATATATATCTCCAAGACTTCTCTAATAACAAGATATCCTGCTGGTACAGCCACTGGCAAACTCAGTGATTTTGCTGTAGGCACACTACACACAGATCTCATTGACTTTTAAACATTTCTTATCCAATTTTCCTTGTTTTATTTGTGGTAAAAACTGCATCCACATTTAAGTTCATACTCTGAACTTAATTTTGTGTGCAATTTGACTCAACTAGTTGAAGGCATGCATATATCAAAAGACTGGCTCTCACCTAAAGGGGGTATTCTTCCTGCTTTCACATGGTGACATAGTTTAACTCGCTTTCAGATATACTGCCAAGCCAAAATTTTGATCCCTACTGGATACTGAGCTGACAGCCATGAATTCTGTAGGTTTTCAAACTTTCACACTTAGAATGGAATCACACCTTTGCCTCTCTTGGGTCTATGCATGTGTGTGTGTGCACATGTGCGCGCGCGCACACACACACACACACACACACACACACTATCTTGTTCGTTCCATTTCTCCACTATCCTGTTGGTTCTGTTTCTCTGGATAATTCTTGCTAATACAGATTTGGTACTGAGAGTAATTTTAGAGAAACAGAATTTTAAGGTGACTTATACTTTTAAACATTTTTCTCAAACTTTATAATGAAACTGCTTTCCTCCCATGTTTCTTAGAGAATGACATTGTAAGATTATTGTAAGCTTAACCAAGTGGTGAGTCCAATTGCAGATGCTGTACCAGATGCAGTTTCATTGTTTGCACATATTAACATATCTCTTGCTACCTGCTTGTAGGCAGCTGTTGATCTGGTGATTGCTATTTTTTTCACCATCCCTGTTAATAAAGACTACCAGAGCTGATGCTTTCAGCTGGCAAGGTCAGCAAAACTGTCTAGAGTTCTACCTTAGGGATAGATCAGCTTTTCAGCCCCATGTCATAATTTACTTTGCAGGGATCTTGTCAATTTCTTTCCATAAGGTGTTAACACTGGCCCATGACATTGATGACATAGATGCTGATTGATCTTGGTGAACAAGAAGTAGCAACTGCTCCAGACTTATTGGGGCATTTGCATGTCAGAGGGTGTGGGATATATATCCAACAAATGTTCAGCAGTCTTCTGCCTTTCTGGGGGTCCATTGTCGTGGGCTCTGTTTAGGTGTCCTTCTAATGTGAAGGATAAGTGGTTGCATATGGTCCCTCTTATATCTAAAAGAGAGGTACACAGTGCCTAGTGGTCTTTCTTGGATGCTTGAAGCAGCCCACACCTCATCGGAGTGCATTCTAGCCCATTTACTGAGTGACTGGAAAAATTGCCAATTTGATTGAGGTCCAGCACAAGAAAAGGCTCTGCAACAGTTCTAGGCTGCTGAGAAAGTTCTCTGAACTTTAGGCCATGTGATCCTGCAGATCCAAAGGAACTGGAAGTGTCTGTGGCATTTGGAAATGCTTTTTGGATCCTACAGTGAATCACAGTGCAGGCCCTGGAGATACTGCGGCAAGTGCTATGAGATCATTACTTCATTCTTTTGAGAAACAGTTCTTGACCTGCTACTAGGCTTTAGTAAAGACTGTTTAAGTCTTTACTTGAGCCACCAAATTACTATGAGAACTGAGCTGGGTGTTGTGTGAGCCACCAAGTTATAAAAATTAGGCATGTACAGCTGAGCTCCATCTAGGTCCGGAGCAGACCCTGAAAGCACAAGTACATTGTATGAAGGGACACAAATGGCCATGGTCCTCATTCCTTTTCCACTGTCTTTTCTCTCCCAGCATACAACTATGGCCTTATGGAGAGTTCCCTCTGATCAGGTGACAGAAGGGAAGACTAGCTTCTGTGCGATATGTAAGTACCACCTGAAAGTGGACTACTACATCACTCCAAACCTTTTTCGGGGTTTCCCTGGGAGGAATGGTGAAGGGAAATGGAGGATTTCCCAGGGCATAGACTGTTGAACAGTGTACTTGGTTGTTAACTTGGAAGATGTGATTATATACCAACTCATGGGCTGTGGCCAATGGGTTGGCTAGATGGTTAGGTATTTGAAGGAACATAATTAGAAAATTGGTGACAAGGAAATTTGGGGGAATGATGCATGGGTGGACCTCTCTGAATGGGCAAAGAAATAAAAAGATAATTGTTATTTCTCATCAAAGGGTATCCTTAGCTAAGGGTTTTTTTTTTTTAAGATTGATTGATTTATTTATACAAGCACTGGGTACAGTCAGAAGCGTGGGAGGGTGAGAGAATTCACCAGAGCCAGAGCGGGGGGCAGAACAGGCAGACTGACGAAATACACTGCTGAGGGGAGCAGAGGGTGTGGCAGGAGAGGTCTGGGCACCATGTGGGACCCTCGTGGGTGGCCGGGGATTGGAACCGGTGCTGCGGAGGCTGTGGGCAGCTTTGCAGCCCAGCACTCAACCGCTGTGCCACCTGGGAGGCCCAGCCAAGGGATATTTTAAAAATTAAGTGCATAAGATGATCTTCAGTCAGCCTCTTTCCCCAACCACCCCTCGCAGAGGCCATGGTGGCAGGGATGCCACTGTATGCTCTGTTGGCCTAGATGTCTTAGTTTCAGGGGAAGTAATGTTCCCACCAGGGGGCACAGAAATAGTCAGTGAACTGGAAATTAAGACAGCTGCCAGGCAACGTTGGACTGTTCTTGTCTCTCAATCAGCAGGCAGAAAAAGGAGTCACTTCACTGACTGGAGTGATTGATCTTGACCATGAAAGGGAAATTGGACTACTAGTCCACAGTGGAGATAAAGATTTAATCAATTAATCAATCAATCAATCAAACCAATCAGTCATCTGTTCACCCATATGTCTGTCCATGCATCCATCCATTACATAGGAGAATTTTTAGGCTATCTCTTAGTAATATCATAGCTCATAAATAAAAGCAATGGAAACTACTGCAACCCTCTAGAGGCAGGGCTACTAATGGCCTAGATCCTATTGGAATGACAGTTTGGGTCACCTCTTGGAGTAAATAACCATGCCCAGCTAAAGAGTTTACTGAGGACAAAGAGAATGCAAAACAAGCAGTGGGAAAATGCAGTTATAAATACCAGTTATGACTATCTGAGCAGTGACAGAAATGAAGACTAATTATTGTGTTCAATAAGGAGGAATCCTTATTTTGTTATGAATATATTTGTGTGTGTATTTCAGACATCGTTTTCTTCCCTCTCATTCCTTTACCATGTAACATAAAATTCACTGACCTTACATCATAGTGTTTAAATATTTAAATTATGGGATATCAAGAAGAATAAACATCACTCAATGAATTTGCCATGTCTTCTGGAGAGGGGGTTAGGGTGTTTTCATTTGTACATGGGATAGTTGTATCATGTTAGGTCGAATTACGACTTTGCTACTGTTTTCGTTTGGAGAGTAAACATGGACTAAGGAGACAGGTGCATGGCAAGTCCACAGTGGTAGATTTCTGATGGTTAATTTTTTGTGTCAATGTGGCTGAGGCATGTGATGCCTAGATATTTGGTTAAACATTGTTGTAGGTATTTCTGTGAGGGTGATTTTTGATGAATTTAACATTTAAATTGACAGACTGAGTAGAACAGATTTCCCTCCCTAATATGTGTGAATCTCACCCAATCATCTGAAGGTGTGAGTTTATCAAAATGCTGACTCCTCAAATTGGAAGCAATCCTTTTTGCTTGATGACTTTGAGCTAGAACATTGTTTATTTTCCCTGCCTTTGGACTTGAACTGAAACACTGACATTTCCTTGGTCTTGAACTTACCTACTTTCACACTGGATCCTCACCGTCAACTTCCCCCAGGTCTTCAGCTTGCTGACTGCAGATCAGGGGGCTTGTCAGTCTTCATAATTGCATAAGCCAATTTCTTAAATAAATATAAATCTCTCTCTCCTGTTTTTCTCATAAATATATGAATCTGTGCCTATGTATGGGTACACACACATAACTCTTTAAAATAGCATTTTGAAAGAAATAAATGCCTTAGCATATTAGACATTTTGTAACATACTGTCTTATAATACATATTTGTATGCAAATTACATATAGCCACTATACATTAGATCATTAATATTATAATTATGTTATATATAATCTAATATTATAGTAAAATTACTAGCTCAATTGCACATCACTTATACTAGAAGAGGAAATTATTTTGGACATACATAGTGGTGATTTGCTATCTATCAAAGGTAACCTATTGATGATGGAGTATATGGCTGGGCAGGTCAAATGTGTGGACAGTGGTGGAGAGGAAATTTCTGAAAATACACACTATGGATTTAAGTAACAAACTGAAGGCATGAACATCTTTTCTGTGAAGAGGTGCATTACCTCTTCTAGTGCACCTTGTTAGAATATACCTTATTCTGATCTAGGTTTAATTATGGCAGCATCAGAAAATTCCTCACTGCACCTCCAATTTAGATTTTATTGGTTGACTTGAACTAGTTTATCCCAGCAGTTGGTCAACCAATTCACATTAGCTCTTATGGAAGAGAAAATTGCACATAAGTAGAATAGTGATGTGTTCCAATGATAAATGTTCACATATGAAGTCCTTTGGTCCAGGAATATGCAAAGGTGAGGAGAAGAAAAATTGGTTATCCCATTTTTTTCTATGAATTATCATTTTTCATCAATCATTTTCAAAGCATAAATGGACTGTTGTTTTCATTCAATTCTATCTCCCATGTATTATCTAACAGGAACGTGTGCATGCTGCAATGCTCAGAAAATGATGTATGTTATTGTGAAGTAGAGGATTGACTTTTCAAAAATCATAAAGATAAAAAATAATTTTTCTCCCTTGCAATAAGATCATGTTACTAAAATGAAAGTGGTAGATGTTTTGCTAGTATTGACTAATAGAATTAGGCACCGACTATGTAAGTTACACGTCAAATACTTAGTTACTATTTGCATCTTCAGTTCTTCGGGTAACTCTTTAAGAGTTGCTGCCTTATAGACCTAAATTATGCTGTAAACAACACAGCTCCTTCTTTCAAAACTAAAGTGCTCTCAGGAACAGAATGCATTCAAGTCCCTAATTGCTCAATATGGGGTACATATGGGACTAGTAGCATTTTAAGAGTTCTTTAAAGGCTCAGGGACTAAGTGTGGTCTCTTTCTTAGAGGTCAAGTTGTTTGTGTCTTTACACAGATGATTTAAGGGAAAAGACCATGAAAGTACTATTATTATTATTATTATTTTAGTAAAGAGAGAAGACTGGTAATTGTCTGTTATTCTTTATTCCACCACTTATGTCCTAGTGTAACCCACTTGCAAAATGAGCTACTAGCCCAAATAACTCAAAATTGTCTCCATCTCTCAAACCTAATTTTCACTGTAGCAGTCTTCTTTCCTTGTCTGGCTCAGGGTTTTCCGATCTGCTACCTAGAAAATTACTATTATAATAAATAATAAAGCAAAACTATTTTGTCTTGCTTTGCGTTGTTGATGGACATTGTTTCTCCTTGGAAGAATATCCATTAAATAAGCTGACCTTATGTCATTAAACTCCTATTTGACACTTTATTATCCAGATGTAAGGTATTTGATTTTCCATATTTCATTTTGTCCTTTGACATGCAATCTTATTTCTCAATGTGAGAAAAAGTAATGAATTAACTTGGTGTTTCAAACTGATCAATACGAGGTCTTGGTATTGTTTTCCAAATATTATAGATTGGTCTAAAAGATCAGAATTCAATTCAGTTTTTAATACAATTCATTTTTTTATAATGTCAGCTGACAAGAGGGAAAATGTGGAGGTGAGAGATTACTAATAAGTGACAAAATGGCAAAGAGTGGGGGTAGCTTAGGAATATCACATGTGTATGCTTATGTATCTTTTGAAATCCATTTACCAGTATTTTTTAGCATTAGTAGTTTGTAAATGATTGCTTGTTCCTTTTTATAAATATCGCTACTTTAAATGGTGGGATTAAGATCACTGAAACTGCTGTTTATTATTGTCCAAGCTTTCATCCATTTCTCTGAGATGATGATTTCTATGCACTTAATTATATCATCTGTGTACCACAGGTCTTATGTGCTATGGACCCAATGACGTCCATTCTAAATGTTTGTGTCAAAGCCCTAATCCTCCACTGGTCTGTATTGGAGACAGGGTCTTCAAGAAAGTGGTTAAGGGTAGAGGAGGGCATGAAGATAGAGCCCTGAACTCATAGAATTGTAATAGTTGTGTACAACACTGTGTGTGATTTAGAGGTACAGGGTCACACCTCTTCAGGTATATGTCACCAAACCACACCTCATGCTTTCCAACCTCTAGAATTGCCAGAAAATAAATTTATGTTGTTTAAGTCACCAGTCAATGGTGTTTTTGAAATGGCAGCTTGGGCAAACTGAGGTAGGTTTTCTAAAGTTTCTTTCAACAAGAGCATCTTATGGTTCAGTGACCTGCTTTTCTCTTTTTTGTATATTAGTTTATTTGCTTGTTTCTTTTATTCTTTCTTCCTTTTTAAAAACTATATTTTCTTTTTTGAGCAAACTTTTTTTTCCTTACTGCTTTTTTTCTGTCTCCATAGTTTTCCTATTCCAGAGTGTCATGTGGCTGAATCATAGAATATGGGACCTTTTCAGATTGGCTTCTTTCACTTAATATCATGGCTTCAGTTTTCTCCAGTATTCTACATGACTTGATAGCTAATTTCTTTTCAGTGCTTAGTAATATTCCACTGTCTAAATGTACCACTGTTGATTTGACCATTATCCCATGAAGTACATAGTGGTTGTTTACAGGTCTTGTCAATTACAAATAAAGCTGTATCAACTTCTGAGCACAAGTCTTTGTTTGGACAGAGTTTTCT